TTCTTCTACTGTTCTCTCCCAAGCTTCTTCCCCAGTTCCCTCTACCCTTTCGTCACCCCCCCCCCTATTTTGGTACAGTCCATCATCACCCCGATCTTTACTCACCCACCTTTTTCCATCTCCAATATTGTGCCACATGCAACGTCCTTGTCCTCTGAAATACTTGAAGCTATCTCAGAATATGTTGAGGAGACTAGACCATTGAAGGACATTGATCCACCTCCTGTTGCTCTTTTTCACTGTTCTCCATCTGCACAACTTCTTTCTTTGCAGTGTCCCAATCCTTCGCTGCTTAAAAGTTTGCCATTGCTTCCACATGTGGACATTTCTAACCCTACTAGTATGTAGATATCTCTACACTTCACAACTCATTGCTTATTTACAGTGGAATATCCGCGGCCTCAGAGGTAACCAGGGTGAGCTTCAGGTGTTACTTTTCCGGTTTTCCCCTGTTTGTTTTTGTTTACAAGAACCTAAATTATGCTCTGCTGTTATCCATCCCATCTCAGGCTATGATTTCTTATATTCATCGGATCTTTTACCCGATGGATCATTTAATGAAAGTGTACTTTTTATACACACTGGTATTCCATACTGTCAGCTGTTTGTTCATACTTCGCTGCATTGCACTGCAGCCCGTATCCACTTGAATAAGTGGTATACAATCTGTTCTTTGTATCTCTCTCCTTCTCGGTCAATATCTATCCCAGATGTTACATTTCTGGTTTCTTCCTTACCGCCACCACTTCTGTTACTTGGCGATTTTAATGCCCACCATTTCCTCTGGGGAAGGGGGGAAGGGGTTTTGCTGTGACTCCCATGGCATTCAGTTGGAGGCTTTTCTCGCTTCTCTCCCACCCATTTTGATCCTCATATTCATTCTTTCTCTTGCATCGATCTCTCGGTCTGCTCTTCCTCAACTGTACTAATCTTCACCTGGTCTGTCCTCCCAGACTTGCATGAGAGCGATCATTTTTCAATCATCCTTACTTCTCATTCGTATTCACCACCTCCACGTAGCCCACACTGGCAATTTGACCGAGCAAATTGGGACATTTACTCGCATCTAACTGCTTTTAGTGAGGTTCCTTCTTCATCCACCATTGATGAGCTTTTACAACTCTTCTCGACCTCAGTTTTAACTACAGTTTTAACCTCGGGTAGGCATTCTTAGAAGTGTGTGCCTTGGCGGTCTCCTGCTTGTGTTCATGCAGTATGTTTGAAATGTGCTGCGTGGGGCAGGTACCAGAACAGTAGAACCACAGAGAGACTCCTTGTTTTTAAGCAGAAGAGAGCAGTTGCTTGCCGTGTCATCCATGACACTAAACGCACTTGCTGGCAGGATTGTTTCTACCATCACTTCTGCTTCCTCTATGAGTGCAATCTGGAAAAAAAGTACGGAAACTGAGTGGTAAATACTCTCCCGTACCGGCTCCTGTTTTTCAGGTTGCCGGTGTTGATGTCACAAACCATCTTGATGTTGCCACCGAAATTGGTAATCATCTTGTCCGTATCTCTCAGGGGCTTCATCTATGCCCATTGTTTCATTCCTCAAAGTCTGCCAAAGAGTTAGAGCCCCTAAATTTACTTCTATCTGAGAAGAATCTTATAATGTGTCTTTTACGCTTCTGGAACTGGAGGCAACACTCTCAGGTTGCCGGTCATCGGCAGCTGGGCCTGACAGCATTCATTTCAGTCAGTCAGTCCTTGCAATCCTCTTATGACTTTTCAATCTTATTTGGTCACAATGAGTTCTTCCCCAGCTGTGGAAATCTGTCATTGTTCTCCCTTTCCACAAACCGGGTACTAAAGGACATGCCTCCCATTATTGTCCCATTGCTCTTACCAGTGCAGTTTGCAAGGTGATGGAAAGTCTGGTAAATAGACGTTTGATGTGGTATTTAGAGACACACAACAGTCTCTCCACTAGTCAATATGGCTTTCGTAAGGGCCATTCCACCATTGACCCCTTAGTGTGCTTAGATATGTATGGCCATAATACCTTTGCTAATAACTACTAAGTTATCACCTTCTTTTTTGACCTTGAGAAAGCACATGACACAAGATGGAGGTATAATATCTTGGCCCAAGCCCACTCCTTAGGCCTCCGAGGCAATCTACCATTTTTTTTAAGAACTTCTTAACTGAAAGACATTTCCGTGTTCAGGTTAATAATATACTTTTCCTGGACTTTGTCCAAGCTGAAGGTATCCCCAAAGGTGTGTTCTCGGCACAATATTTTTTTCTCCTGGCCTCTGTTATTCCAGCCAATATTTGGTCATCGCTCTATGTTGATGACTTCACTATAGCTTGTGTAGGTGCTGACTGTCACCTCATTGCAGTTTCTCTCCAGCATGGGGTCAACCGTGTTTCCAATTGGGCTACCACTTATGGGTTTAAATTTTCTAGTACTAAAACTCACCAAATTACTTTCACTAGACGTTCTGTCGTCTCTGATCACCCATTGTACCTATATGGCTCGTGTATCCCAGAACGTGATACGGTCAGGTTTCTCGGCCTTCTGTCTGACCGTTGGTTATCCTGAAAACCTCACGTTACCTCTCTGAAGGCAACTTGTCATAGCCGGCTGAACCTCCTTAAAACCCTCGTTCATCTTTCATGGGAGGATGATCATAGAACTCTCCATCCACTACATTCAGCCCTAATTTTATTGAAACTTGATTATGGTGACCAGATGTATTTAACGGCCTCTCCCTCAACTTTCTCTAGCCTTAATCCCATCCATCACCAAGGATTAATTTTATGCCTCTGTGTTTTTCGCTCTTCATCAGTTGAGAGCCTCTGTGCAGAGGTGAATATTCCATCCTTGTCCAATCACCATGATGCTCACTGCTTTTGCTATTATGTTCGCTCTCATGACCTCCGCAATCCTTCCATATATAAGATAGTCACTGATGTTAGTAGACGTTCTTTATTTGTTTGTCACCCCTGTTTACTCCATCCCTTTTCTCTTCACCTACATTTGCTCTTACCTTCACTTCAGTTACTGTTTTTCTATGTTCGTGTAACTTCTCACTTTTCCCCACCCCCTTGGGAAGTTCCGACGGTTCATGTCTGTTCTTTCCCACTGCCATGCGCAAAAGCCCAACTGCCTACGGTGGCTTCTTGCTCTCTTTTTCTTAACCACTTCTGATCTCATTCTCATACCATTGCAGTGTACACCGATGGTTCCAAGTCTTCTGAGGGCATCGGATTTGCAGCAGTTTCCGGACAGCACCATGCGAGGGCATTTATTATCCCCAGCTAGCACTTTCATGGCTGAATTGTATGCCACCAGGCCCGGTGGCCTGGTGGGTAAAGCTCCCGCTTCACACACGGAGGGCCCGGGTTCGATTCCCGGCTGGTGGAAATATTTCCACACGTTTCCTTACACCTATTGTCCTGTTCACCTAGCAGCAAATAGGTACCTGGTGTGGGTCGCATCCTGGGGGACAAGATTGAGGACCCCAATGGAAATAAGTTAGACAGTCCTCGATGACGCACTGACTTTCTTGGGTTATCCTGGGTGGCTAACCCTCTGGGGTTAAAAATCCGAACGAAATCTTATCACTTATCCGTATTGCATTTATGGCTGTGTCACCATTTGTGGACGTTTCAGATTCCCTTAGTGCTTTACAGGCTATACAAAAATTTGATACACCTCATCCCCTGATTCTTTGTATCCAACTTTGGTTATGCTTTATCTCTAGCAAGCACAAAGATATTGTTTTTTGTTGGATCCCCTGTTATGTTGATGTACAGGGCAATGAACAGACAGGCACTGCTGTGTGGTCAGCAGTACATGACCCCCAGTTTCATATAGAGGTGTTTCATTCACAGAGTATTTTGCTGTAATTGCTACCCACCTTTGCACCCGTTGGCAACAATGTTGGTCTGATTCTATTAAACTGAGTATAGGTTTCTGGCCGTCTTCTTATCATCATTTTCGAGGTTGGGAGACTACTCTCTCCCGTCTTTGCATCGGCCACACTCGTCGTATTCACGGGTATCTCGTGGAGAGACGCTCTGTTCCACTCTGTGAGAATTGTCAGGTTCCAGTTTCTGTTAGACACATTCTGTTGGACTGCCCACTCTATCAACGAGCACGCAGAATTTACCTCCAACTTCGTCACCACTCTACCGCCCTTACTTTACCTTCCCTTCTTGCTGATGGACCTTCTTTTAACCCAGACTCTCTCACTGACTTTTTGACAACTGATTTACTGCACAAACTCTGATGACGATGCCTCTAGCACTCCTCACGACCCTTTCTACCTCAATCTCTTGCTACCCTCTACCCCTGCACTGTCCACTGTCCCACTGCACTCCATGACCTAATAATTATCCCTCTCCCTCTTGTAGGTTTATTGCTTCTTTTTTATTATAATAATAATTCAGAGGCATGATAGAACTGATGATTTGGCCAAGTTGGATGCCATCAAAGAGTGGGTAGATTACAACCTTGGCTTGTCAGTCAGCAGTTTGAGAACAATAATACAAAAAGAACTTCAACTGAATTTTATTGACTTAAGATGCAGCACTGTATGACCCCTGTGGATTTAGCGTTTAGTTTTGATTATAATAATGATGATTAAGACGTACAGCAGTTGGGTATCTTTAATGTTGAAATGTTTCACCTATACAGTAGGCTTTTTCAGTCAAATACAGAGCCAGCAAGTGTAGTAGTAGTGAAATGAAGATATAATCAGTCCATCAGTCTTGGAAAAACAGTACAGTATTTGAAGTGGTCAGTCCCTCAGTTTGGATAGGAATTCAGCTCCATGGTCTGGAACGATATGAAGCTGAAGCATGTTTGTGTTCATGTAGGTTTTCCAGGATGGGTCCTGGCCCGGGTCTCCTCTATGTGGTGGCCTGGGTCTCCTCTATGTGATGACCCGGCAATGGTTTCCGAAGAAGTGTCAGAGTTGGTACAAGTGATATACCGTTTATAGCCCTATGGCAGGGGCATTCATGTCAAGTGGCGTACCGTTTACAGCCTTATGGCGGGTGCAGCTGTATGGCAAAGGCACGGTGAGTTTTCTGCAGGTCAAGTGGAGTACCGCTTACAGCCCTATGGGCACGGTAAGCCATCTTCGTGATAAGTAGGGGCTCTGGTGGCCTTGTGGCTAACGCTCTCGCTTCACATGGTGAGGGCCTGGGTTCGATTCCCAGCCAGAGTAGAAACATTGGGCGTGTTTCTTTCCACCTGTTGTCTATGTTCCCCATCAGTAAAAATGGATACCTGGGTGTTAGTCGACTGGTGTCGGTCTGATCCTGGGACACTGACCTAATTTGTCCGAAATGCTCAGCATAACAAGGGGCTTTCTATATAGTAGTATGTCATTGATGTCAGCTAAGCCTGTATATCATGTACTGTACTTGTAGTAAATAAAAATATTATTATTATTATTATTAAGTGGAGTACCGCTTACAGCCCTTTGGCAGGAGCAGCCCTATGACAAGGGCATGGTTACTCTTTTCAACTCCAGTTGACCCATTCCTGGCATGCAGTCTGCAGCTTGAGTGCCAGAACGACTCTGGAGAATCTCCGGAAAGTGTTGAGCACCGACATCTGACAGATGGAGTCTTAAATGCTGTCGAAGGTAAGGCGAAGATCTTGAAGACGTTGCAGGGAACGGGATTCGATAATGGAAGTAAGTAGGCAAGTCCCTCTGGGATCCAACACTTCTCACTCATAGATAGTAGTTAAGCGGTGAAGTGTGGAAGATGCCCTCTGTACCAATATACAGTGTCTAACAGTTATGTTGAAAATGGCATAAAATACCGACAAGTTGATGATTAAGACACATGCGCAACAGTTGGGTATCTTTATTGTTGAAACGCTTCGCCTACACAGTAGGGTTTTTCAGTCAAATACAGAGGCAGCAGGTGTAGTAGTGAAATAAAGATGCACTGATTATGTCATCTTCATTTCATTGCTACTACTAGTCAGTGTTCGGGCTACTTCATCCAACTATGATAATCTTCCCATTACCACACAGAAAATTAAAGGGCACACATGATGCTAGGGAGAGACTGATTTGTTTTAAGCTCAGCAAGGAAGATGCTAGTAATATTCCTTACAATAAGTATGAGCTCGATGGGGCAGTACGGGCAAATCCAAGTCGCCTGGGAGCATGGTATTACAGAATACATTGCTATGTCGAGTACCAGGTAATCCTTTATTTGAATTATTCAATATGAGTTATGTAACTGAGGACTTAAATCATGGATCAATATCCTCATCATTCCCATTCCAAAACCCAATCAACAAAATGCATTTTGCCTAGCATCTCCATGAATTTTGTGCATGTTATCTAGTGTATTCAAGATCATGTGACGGTACAGCTGTTTGTGTAAAGCATTTGAGAGAATGATTCTAAATCGTCTCATGCACAGAATCAAACAATTTCTGTCTCCTCGGTTGTATGGTTTCATTTATGGAAGGAGTGTTTATCATTTGCATAACCACCTTTCTCACCCTGCACACTGACAGCTCCTTCACGACCTTCCTTGATCTTATATATGTTTTTAATATAGCCAGCCAACATGTAATCAATAGTGAACTTACTGGAATGGATGTAGGAGGATGACTTCTCCGCTGTCCAACAGATTAGAGATTTAGATTTTGCCACCGAAGTGGCTAGTTTATTGTGCACCCCATATCCATCCTATGGACGGTAGCGCGAGAGCATATGGATACACAAAAGGCCTAAGAACTAGTCCCAAAAAGGGTTAACAGGAGTACATATGCATTTATATCTACATATCTATAGTTTACTTATCTGTCACAAGCAAATTTAGGAAATTTGCTTATTATTATTATATTATTATTATTATTATTATTATTATTATTATTATTATTATTATTATTATTATTATTATTATTAATAGTATACTATTATTATTATTATATAAATGAAATCGAAAGAAATTCAAAGTATTTCTTTTCTTATGTCAAATCAAAGTCGAGAACAACGTCCAGTATTGGGCCCCTACTTAAACAAGATGGGTCCTACACAGATGACAGCAAGCAAATGAGTGAGCTACTCAAGTCCCAATATGACTCAGTTTTCTAGCAAGCCGCTAACCAGACTGAGAGTCGAAGATCAAAATTATTTTTTTATGAGAGAAGCACAGAATTTGGTTAACACAAACCTATCTGATGTTATCTTGACGCCAAAATGACTTCGAACAGGCGATAAATGACATTGCCCTTTGCACCCCCTCTCCCCCAGGGCAGACTATGGAACTCCGTTTTTCCAAAGAACTGCAAGAAGCCCTACAGAGCTTTCCATCCTATGGAAAAGGGGCCCATGACACGGGGGTCGTCCCACAGTACTAAAAACAAGACATAGCCCAACCCCAAAAGAGGGGCGTAAAGCAACAGCAAAGAACTATAGACGTAGCACTAACATCCTATATCATAAAAATCTTGAAAGGGGGACCTTAAAAGAAAGTTCGCCACCAATCTAGAAACCCACGAATTCACAACCAGGGTAACATGGGTTTAAGAACAGGTGCTCCTGTCTGTTCACATTGAATCACTACGACAAGGTTCTAGAGGGACTAGAAGACAAAAAGAATGCAGATGTAATATATACAGATTTTGCCAAAAGCCTTCGACAGTGTGACCATGGGTAATAGGGGCACAATGGCCCTTAAAGGAATAACAGGAAAGTTGTGTTGGATCTATAATTTCCCCAAAAACAGAACCAAAGAGAAATAGTCAACAGAGTAAAGTCTGAGGCCGGCTATGTGAAAAGCTCTGTTCCCCCAAGGCACAGTTTCGCTCCCTCTTGTTTCTATCCATTTTCGGGGACATAGACAAGGATTTTCAGCCACAGCCCCGTTTCCCTTTGCGATGACACCGATGCATGAAGTGTCTTCCTTTGCGGGTCAGCAAGGTCCAGGCGGGAAATCAACCAAAACTTTCAATGGGTGCAGAAAACAATATGAAGTTCAACGATGACAAATTTCAATTACACCGATATGGTAAACATGAATAAATTAAAACTTCATCAGAGTACAAAACAAATTCCGGCCACAAAATAGAGAGAAAAACCAACGTCAAAGACCTGGGAGTAATCATGTCGGAGGATCTCACCTTCAAGGGCCATAACATTGTATCAATCACATCTGCTAGAAAAATGACAGGATGGATAATGTGAACCTTCAAAACTAGGGATGCCAAGCCAGTGATGAAACTCTTCAGGTAGCTTGTTCTGTCTAGGCTGGAATATTGCTGCACACTAACAGTACCTTTCAAGGCAGGTGAAATTGCTGACCTAGAAAATGTACAGACAACCTTCACGGCGCGCATAACGGAGATAAATCACCTCAATTACTGGGAGAGCTTGAAGTTCCTGAACCTGTACTCCCTGGAACGCAGGCGAGAGAGATACATGATTATATACACCTGGAAAATCCTAGAGGGACTAGTAAACCCAACTTGCACACGAAAATCATCACACGAAAGAAAAGATCGGTAGACAATTTCAACATCCCCCAATGAAAAACAGGGGTGTCACTAGCACTTTAAGAGACAATACAATAAGTGTCAGGGGCCCGAGATTGTTCAACTGCCTCTCAGCATACATAAGGAGGATTACTAATAGACCCCTGGCTGTCTTCAAGCAGGCACTGGGCAAGCACCTAAAGTCGGTACATGACCAGCCGGGCTGTGGCTCGTACGTTGGATTGCATACAGCCAGCAGTAACAGCCTGGTTGATCAGGTTCTGATCCACCAGGAGGCCTGGTCACAGACCGGGCCGCGGGGGCGTTGACCCCCAGGACTCTCTCCAGGTAAACTCCAGGTATATCTGGTATCTTATTTTCATTAATTAGATATCTTGACATGTCACATAGGTTATTATACTGTCTATCTCTGTATTCTTCAACAAGTGGACAATTAAGCACATAGTGTTTAAGACAGTGACCATATGCCTGATCACATAATTTGCATTTAGTTTGATCATCATCTGTGTGTCTCCCAAACTGCCAGAAGTACTTGTAACCAAGCCTAAGCCTGGCCACTACAACATCAGTCAGTCTGTTCACATTGCAAGTTGCTCCATAAACATACTTATCTACGTTCATGTTATCATAGTGGGTTATAGATCTTTCTTTAGGCTTCTAACTGCATTCCTTTTAACAATCATTTTCATTATTTATTCTCCTAATTTTTTCCTAATGCCTAGACACAGATATACCAAAGTTATATTTTACATTTCCTTTGGGGACTCTTCTTGGCTAACATATCAACTTTATCATGAAGGAGTAATTCAGTGTGTGATGGGATCCATAGCAATTGTACATTAATTCCATTATCCCTGATTTTTGAGTATCTAGACCCGGCTTCTCCAATGAGCATGTTGTTGGAGTCATTATATGAGTCAAGAGCCTTCTATTATGACAGAATCAGTAATGATGATACAGACAAGCTCAGTGTCATAGGTTAGCTTTAGCGCCATTAGGATTGCAAACAATTCAGTTTGCAGTGTAGACGCCCAGTTGTTAATTCTTATGCCTAACTCAACAAATTTATTATCGTTCTTAACTAGGGAGGTGGCAACAAGAGCAGATGCAGCCCTGCCAGAAGAGTCCTGTTTAGATCCATCGGTGTAAATAACTTGTGATAACTTATTACTGCCAACTAGGTGAGAAATTTCTTCTTGAGCAGTTGCTTTAACAAGTGTTTTAAGTAAGGGATTACTAGCAATGAGCTTCTTGGGAGGGACTTGCAGGTATGTGATATTAAATGAACACATCTTCCATAGAGGGGTAAAATTCTCTTTTCTCTACAGTGATACAGTTCATGCAGGTTATAAAACTTGATGTAATTACACGTTTTCACAATCCATTTAGATCTGTGTGTATTTACTTCTAGTCATTTAGTAAGATTCATTGTGACAATGTCTGGTTCATTTCTTAAGATTCTAATACCGAGTACAGTGTTAATCTCAACAATCCTATCACTGATATTAGAAATACCAAGCTCCTTCCTCACATTAAGAACCTTTGTAGATTTGGGACACCCAAGAATAATTCTGAGAGCTTCGTTTTGCATTAACTCCAAGGGTCGGAGAGAACTTTCTCTAGTAATACAACTGGGAGCGAAAATCAATTAAGGACCTAACATAGGCTATGAAATCTTCTCACATTCTCACATTAGCCATAGCGGGTTGTAGCGCAACAGTTTGAGAGTTTTAACCCTTTTATTTGCATTTCTTTTTTAGTTGTGTATGGGATTTGTTAAAAGGTACATTACACCAAGATATTGTGGGGTTTTTTAACGAGCAAATGTTTTTTCCCCCTGCAGATAGATGGGTGGGGGGGTGTTTTGCTTGTTTATCTTTGTTTTAGAGGAAAAATTTTTATGAGGCCAGTCTTTTACAAATTGCTTGAACTTCTTTAAGATGGGCTCATCTTCTTAGCCTGTGTATTATCATGATGCATCAGATAGTTTATTATATTTTTAGGTGAGGCAGGTAGAGCATTTGGGGAGAGATTTATCAGAAATTTAAAATAGCAGGGACTAAAAACCCCTCCTGCGATGTACCTAGAGACATTCTTTCGACTCACTTTAAAGCCTTGGTAGGG